TCTACTACGAGCGAGAAGAAGAAATTCTCTCTAAAAGTATTATTGTTCCTGTAATTAAATATAATAGAACTTCAAGAACCACTTCAACAACATTTCATATAGATAGTTAGAATCTTTCTTTTTCTTCGAAAGTAATTGTCTTTATAAGTTTAGGAGTTAGCCGAAATGTTTAACATGATGACTGTAATTTTAGATAATTACGCAGTGAAATTAAATCTAAAAGTTACATTATTTTGTGGCTTACAAGACACAATTAAAACATACGTTAATTTTGCTGTAGTAAAACCTACAAATATGTTCAAGTTAATTTAGTCACGTAGTAACTATACTGTATTTGTTTATATTTAGGCTTCATTCATAAAAACAACTAGAAATAAAACACTGTTCTGTTATTTTCATAATGAGATCACTCAATAAAAAATTGAAAAACCGGTAAGAGTGGGGAAAAACGAAACGATTGGTCTATTGGCGAATGTAAAGGGGACCCTACACGGTCATTCGGAATTGCACTAATGACATTCCGAATTGTCGTGTAAGGTAGTGAATGAAGTACTGATGGTGGTGCGCTGCGGATTTCCGAACATCCGTAAATCAAAGGTTCATTCACAAGAAGTGATCGGTTAAGTTAAGTTTTCTATGAGACTAACCTTACTACTAGATAGGTTAGTTTACCTAAGTCTCGTTATTAAGTAAATAATTTCATAAAAGTAAATAGTTGTTATTATTAACTATAAGTCTATGTTATTATTAACCATTTTCAACTATTTTTTCTTTAAAAAGTCAAGTAGACAATAAATTGGAGAGAAAAAAAAGTGGAAACTTCACATAAGTAATGATCAGTAATGATTGAACGTGTAAGGGTCTTCATGATCAAAGCGATAGCGAGCAATCTTGGAACTTCTTGTGACGTTCATTCATGAATTACCGTGTAGGGTCCCCTTAAGAACTAAATGAAAACAACTGTTCTTAACTGTTTGAAAGAACAGTTCATCCGGTTCAACTGAGACTCTCCTTGGAGAACGGCAAGTCTCGAAAAACTACTGAAAGTCAAGAAAAATGATAGGACTGGGCTCTTGGTGAACTGCACAACTAAATGAAAACAAATGTTCTTATCTGTTTGAAAGAACAGTTCATCCATTTGAATCGAGACACTTGTTGGAAAACGGTAAGTTTCGAAATACAAAACCAATTAACGATTAAACGAAAACAACTGTTTTCATCTATTTGAAAGTACAGTTCATCCATTTAAACTAAAGCCGATACTAGTATACTTGCGCGATCTAGGTCTCTGATACATGTCTCAAGTTTGTCTATGTAGACATATCTATAGACAAATCCCCGTTAACAAAATTTGCAGGTCTTAAGTCTCCCAATCGGAATGGGAGACATTAAGCAACGTTACACATGTTGCGCAACATTTAGACAGTGTGGAAGTCACTAGGCGTCTAGAAACGATTTATGGGTGGTATATGGAAAACTATAAAAGCAAGGATATATAGTCATCGATAAAAATATCAGCTTATAACTACTGATACTATTAAAATATCGATACTATCAAGAGATATTTTCATCGATGTTATAAACTTTTGAATAACCAGTCATTTTAAAATACCTTTTTTTTTTTCTGTTCTTCCCTAGCTCGCCTTTTAGGCTATACCGGGGAATGTAAAATCCCCTCCGCCACCGGGACGCTAATGACATCTGAAAGATATTGTGCTAAGTTCTTAATTTTCTAGGAAGGATCAAACCTATGACCCTTTAAAAGGGGTCGGTCAGAATGTCAAGAATAAAAAATAAAGGAAAATAGAAAAAATACAGAAATCACAGCTCTAGATACCCTCCACATGTCAGGCAGAGGCTTACTAATGATAATCACTCAAGGGTTTCTCCATGAGTATATCTCTCATCTCAGGTACTGCTGTAAAATAATAAAAGAAAGAAGACTATACTAAGTGGTATGGGTATATGAAAAGGATGAGTAGCGAATGACTTCCCAAAACGGCATTTGTATGTGAGGCCAAAGATTGAAGGAAAGGAAGGCCTGATGTCAGACCGAGGAGGAAGCCATGGAGAGGAAGAAGTGGAAGAAATGACTGAGGGAAACTTCAATTTATGAAGAAAACACCCTTAAAAAAAAGAAGGTACTGCTGCTGACTTTGCCCAGTTATGGTGAATATTGTTAAATATAGATTTAAAACTATTTTAAGTTTATACAGAACATGTTTTTTTCCCCCATAGGAATTTCTTCAATATGAAGTTTTCCTCAACCAAACTCCTGCTTCAGCAACTCTCTCTATCCCTGTGGGTCCATTGTATCCTTCTCCATCAGCCATACTCTTTAACACTGGATATATCCTTCCATCTAACTGGGAGTCTTCCTCTCCTACCCACTGCCTCCCAACTAATAATTATCTTTGGTATTATATTGTCACCCATGTCCATACCATTCGAGGCTTCGTTCTTCCATCACCTCTAGGATATTTTGTTTTATTTCTAATCTCTCCCTTATAGTGGCGTGATCCTCGATATCTTAGCTGCTCTCGTCCAAAAATCCATTTTAACTGAAAGGAATTTTTTCCCTGGATCATACTGAGGCCATGTCTCCGGACCATGTAGCATCAAGCTTTGTACAACAGCTTTTTTTGTTTTTATTAAAATATTGCTGGTCCAGAGTAAAGCACTGTTTTTTTTTAATCATTTGTGACCCTTTTTTGGATTTCTGCCTCTATTCTACTTTCATTTCTTTCAATTATTGATCCCAAATAACAAAATTGTCCCAATTTACCTAAGTTGCATAATGTTAGATTGATGCTCTCTTCTTTATCTATGCACATATATTTAGTTTTGTTATATTTTGAGACCTCCTTGCTCATATTGATCTATTATTTTCCTGAATAAGTAGCTTATATCCTCTTCATTTTGTGCAATTAACACCTGGTCATCAGTAAATAGTAAATGGCATAGGTTTTTTCCATCAAATGTATTTATAATATTTACAATTATTCAGTATTTACATACTTACAATAAAAATATAACATTAGTACAAAAATATAATATAATACTAGAATAAATATATTCTTGAAATCCGTCAAGCTTTATTGGTTCTTAGCCGTAGATTGCTGTCCTACTCTAGAAATACACCTTAAGGCCGCTAGGGTCTTCATGACCACGCTATTACAAACCTCATACTCTTCTGTTTACTTAAACATTTAGATTCCACAAAAAGAAAGAGAACATAAAATAACTAGTACTAACATTCATTAGAGAAACGACATGGCATATGCATAAAAAAAAATCAGTGAACGTCAAATTTAAATAAAGAGTCACTGTTTAAATGACATTCCAAATTAAAAATAAGACAGAAACTAAGCATTTACCCATACATATCAAAACATCTTTGGATTAATAGACAACAAATATATGGTACGGAGACGGTTGACCGTGGATTCTAAATTCATATGAAGTTAGTTAGGGGTACGGAAAAAAAATATTATATTATATAATAGTATATTTATTACATTGTTCAACGTTTCGACCTATGTTGTAGATCTTCCTCAGGACATTCCATCAGGCACTGCTGAAGGCAGTAGGCGACTTTACTGCCTTTGGTCGCCATGTAATAAAATATACTATTACATAATATAGTATTTTTTTACTACACGCTCAACTAACTTCTAAAAAAAAACAAATATATGGAATTGCTAAACCGTCACATTAAAAGACTTCGAATATTCGATTCAATACTATGGCCAATTACCCAAGCATTATGGTAGTGAATAACAACACTTTACACCCTCATGATAAGTTAAACAGAAACTCTAACCGGCTAATAAAAAAAATGGCCACAACTATTACGCTGGAGAATAACAGAAGAAGGCTGAAAAGGATCTGGATGAGCGATCTACTTAATAAGAAAATAGAAGAGATAATGCTGATTACTGCTTTTACTCATGCCTCTCTGAGCGTCTTTAATTTAATATGTTTTATCACTCATCTCATGGTTATGCCAGCCCACACGCTGATTATCTAAAACTCTCTCTAATTAAAAAGACAATAGCAAACAACCCAGATCAACAAATAGGTTTTAGTACAATAAATAAAAACAATATTCCTTAAAAGAAAGAAAACAAGGAATTAAATTATATGTGTTAGAAAATACTTTATAATACTCTGTACCATCAATTACTTATATTAACAATTTTACAAATATTGCTTATTTATTATTTTACATTTTATAATCATAAAAGGCTTAGCAAACCTCTACAGATCATCATCCCCACTAAATCAGCCTTATCGCAATCTTCTTTCTAAATTCATATTGGTAGTCTCCGATAATTTCCTTCATAAATGATGATTACCAATAATTCGAGGTCTGTTTTTGAAAAGAAAAATATCCATTTTTAATGCAAAGTCTGATTCCTTCAAGAAACATTGTTCTACTTTTTATTTAATGGGATAATCTTATCCCAATTATCAGGTATTAGTTTGTGGACAATTTTTAATGGTGTGTTTGTAAAAAGTGATTTGACATCATAACTGAACATCGAATATCCATATATGTGAATATATGTTTGTGTGAAAATAGTTCTGAATTTATTCGTTATGGCGAGTGGTGGGGGCAGATCAGAAGATCTAAAAGATAACGCTTAATCCGTACGAGCAACAGAGCACTCAGCCTCATTCCAGCACTAGCATCTACAGAGAACAAACAGATGCTCCAAGAGCGCCCTCAGGTAACAAAGAAATGTCTTAAGCTGGCATAAAGACGGTAAGCTATTTTTGCGCAATTCTGAAAAGCTACCAATTAAAATAGTCCACTGCATAAAAAAGTAGAATGTTGCCTATTAAGAACTCATGAGAGTGATTTGCCTTGCCATAATTTAAAATTTAGAATGTTGCCTAAACACCATCCATAATATAATTTAGGGAATTTATTTTGTTTTTTAATTCTATTGCGTTTTTAACATCAAAAGGATTATTGTTACAAAACTGGTTCAGGCTTGGTTTGAGGAATTTATTAAGTTTTAAAATAAAATAGACTGTAAATGATAAAAAGTTCTGAACTTAAATTCTTCCATATCGTTTTGACCAACAAGTGTTTTTAATAACTCCAGCTTTTCTCGATGTCTTAATTAGTTAACAAGGAATGCTATTGGTTCCAGCTGCTTTATAAGATTTTAATTTTCCAATAGCTATTTTAACTTCCTCTTTACTCATTTCTTCTGATAACGGCTCAGCAGTCCGGTACTCAGAGGAATGACATAGATCATTATTTCTCATATGATTATTTAACATTTTATAATTAAATATTTATATCATAGTTCATTATGATCCATTTTTTCCCTCCACTTTACTGTCACATTATTTTTCAGCCATTTCATACATCATCTTCACTAAGACCTGGTTCTGTCTGTAAAAAAAAATACATAAAATAATAATAAGAACAGTTCTACATCATGGTTTAATTTTATCATTACAGAATATAGTACCAGTAAAATGAAGTCCATATATTTTTACTTTCACTTACCTATATATGAAATATATAGTAAAGGAAAGTATTGCGATCGGAAATACACGTTTTGAGGTCCCCTGAGTCCAAATAAACAAGTCCCGCAAAATAGTCTGTGTGCTAGCAGTCTAATTAAAAAATGAAACGTTGTTCGAAAGTGATATTGCGAAATTTAAGATTTTTATATGCTAGGGATGTTACAGCAACTTTTTCGTCAAAATCGGTAGTCTATTTTCTGATGCACTTAGATATTTTTGAGATTTCATCTACAATATGCACAATGTGATCTTGGAGTAGCAATTCAAAACTAGTACCAAAATTAATTAAGTATTGACACAAACATGATGGATAATATTAATTATTATCTATTACATCTTATTCTTACTAAGCATTAGAAAGAAATTAAAAAAACAATTACCACCTTAATTTTTACTCCTTCATGAGGAAAATTCATATAACCTTCATCTTTTTCTTGTTTGATGAAAATTGTGTTATCAATATCTATCATAGAATCTAGATGTTCTTCCTGATTCACAGAATCTGGATCTTCATTCTACAATGAAAAAAATTAAGTAATATTCATTTTTATAAATAAGTATTTAGTCATTTTTAACCAAATTAATTTTAAACCTCTTTAATTCGACAGCATCCTTTCAAGAAATCCTTTGTATTATCATTTGATATATCATGTTGATACACATCATCAATTAAACCTGGTTCAACCTGTAAAGAACGGATGTTCAATATATTAAGATTGTTAATAACATTTATGGAACATTACACAAAAATTAAACTTTTATACCATCCTCATGAAAAGCTTCATATAGCTTGTCCGCTTACATAATAAGCATACATTTAAAAAACTTAACCTATGTATTTTGCCCATATTTTTTATGTCGAATTTTGAACAATAAACTTTGATGAAGAAAATTTTACCAATAAGAAAATTTATATTAATAAATACTCGTTGAGCACTAATACTAATTTACCTTTAGAAGACAAAGGGTAAAAATGGTACATTAGACAACAGGGCAGGGTTCTCCTAACTATGACTCATGAAAGTTTCTTTGATTAGATGGGAAAAATTTAAAGAACTACTATAAAAGTATGAAAGAAATTAAGTAAATCACTTAAACAAGAAGTTATTAGAATGTTTAATACAAGAGTTGTTTTTCTAAGAAAGCTTTAACTATTGAAGTATCATTTTTTTCCTGTTGGCATTACAGACCATGTATCTCTTTTTCCGCCTTAACAAACTTGCTCCATCTCTGCTAGTCTTAGGCTATTTCTTTTCAGTTATCTGCAAGCATTTATAGAAAATGTTTTTTTTATTTCATCTGAATGTGACCCGTGGGCCAAAATGTATGAAGATCCCTGCTATAGCGGTTCCTAAACTATTTGTGATGCAGGCAGGCACAATTGGTGGCGGGGTGGCCGAGCGGACTAACACGTATACATAGCATCTTGTAACCCGCATACAAACTAAAGTGATAAAATAATATTTGCGTCCCGGTACCAAAGGGGGCTTTTAACTCTGGCATTAATTCCCCCGCCCTCACCCCCTGGCCTGGAAAACCCCTGTATAGAATAAAAGGAGAGGAAGGCGAGGCCAAAAAAAATTGGATTTGGCACAATTGGATTATAAAATAAATAAATAAAATACAAGAAGTATAAATACACAATACACTCTAACTCTATTAAAAACACACACACAACCCAGGTAATATGTTATCATTAAAATTTTCTTGAATATACTCTGGTTGAAACTAAGATGATGACATACTTATGAGAGACTTATTGGCGATAAAATAAACTAAACAATGTTATGAAACGAAAGTTATATCTGAGAAAAAAAAAATTCATAATTAAAAATGTGTGTACAATGAAAAGAACATTTTGACTTGAAATATTTATCAAAAGGTCTTTATGGTACTTTATTCAATTATTTACTATCGGGAAAGTATCGATGATTATTTGAAGATAGCATTTGAGTTTAATAAGATAAAAATTAAAATTAAAGGATAATAATGAAATACATAATGGAAATGGTAGTAAGGTTCATTCGAAATGATCTATAATTTAAAAGTATGCACCTTAATTGTGATGTCGGTACTTTCAGACATTACGTAATTCTCCTCTTCATCACAGTAATTAGCATTATGAGGATTCTTCCAAAAATCTGGAACTTGTGATACACTCTGTAAAAAATAAATAAATCTTGATTTTATGAAATGTATATTAGTTAGAAAAAAAAATCTTATCAATATCCCAAATTTATTTCTTATTCAATATAATTGTTGACCTGAACTTGAAAGAGAGCTTTTCAATACACTCACATTAACTGCAAAGACTGATTGCTCTTCTTTTGATTCATACTTTGTCCTTGTAGGATATCTTATGGTCGTAGGTTTCCAAGATTTGTTGTGTGGGATATGAGAAAATATGGTTGGAATCGCATTCCATCTCAGTCTACGTTGTCCATCAGCTCGATTTTGTTCAAACATCTCCGGAGTAAAATGAGCCTAAAATTATTTTACTGCAATGAAGTATTAGCTAATAATAAAACACTACAAAATAGTTATTCGATTTATCATTTTTAATATAATATTCATGTACAGCTAAGAAACAGGAATAGAGTAAAGGAGTGGAAAAAAGTTTAATTTACAATCAAATTATAGATACCTCACATAGACGAGAAGCATCGGTCGGAGTCCAGTTTTTTCTATCGACTTTTTCGGACCAAACCTTCCTTCGTTCCGGATCACTAGGAAACCGTTTCATATTAACACCTTTTTGAGTGCTATTTGTGCAACCAACAGCACAACAGCCAACCATCTAAAATAAATGATAAAATTTTAAAGATTTGCATTATTGAAAAAAAAAAAAGGTAAGAGGACAAATCTTGTTCAGAGAAATTTTACAGCATACAATTCTTAAAAGCAAACATTTCTTGAAGAACCAATCATGAAGAGCATTATGTAATTATTAATTATATTAAATTGAGAACTAAATAAAGCTAACTAATATCAATCATATATAAAGTATACATAAGGGATCAATAACTTAAAATGCACTAAATTCAAAATAAAATTTTTTTTTGACATTCATCAAATTATATGAATCTAAAGTAGACCCAAGGTTTAATTTTGAAGGACAGAGAAGTGGCTAACACTGGAAAATTGTTAAAGGCCATTGATCAAAATCAAATTTTCTTAACCTTTTGAATAATCGAGCAGGGGATCCCAAAAATATTAGTGAATCTAGTTAGGATATACTTGACGGAAAAACTCAATAAAGTTAGAATCGGTTATTACTTATCTGAGAAATTTGAGGTTCGTTCAGGCTTAAAACAAGGTGATTCCTTATCACCTGCACATTAGAGAGGTGATATATATTCAAAAAGGTTTAAACCTGGGTGGAACAATATCTGTGCTTGGGTATGCTGATAATTTAATACTGATAAGAGAAGACGTGGAAACAATAAAACTAAATACAACAAAATTGATGAAAGTTGGTAAAGAACTAGGACTCGAGATAAATACAGATAAGATATAATAAATGGTTAGCTGCAAAAACAGAGACAATTTCAATGATATCGATATTTAAGGGAATGTGTTTGAACATATGCAGAATTTCAGGTATCTAGAGTCTACGATAACTAGAACAAATGAAATTGAAGAGGATATTAATGTTGAGTTGAAGGTGGGAAATGCTTATTTTTTTTTTTTCAAAACTACTTAGTTTTCGCCTTCTGTCCTGAAACATAAAAATTAAAATTTACAAAATCATTATTCTTCCTAATGCTCTTTATGAATGCAAAATGTGGCCGCTTACATTAAGGGATGAGCAACAACTTAAGGTTTTTGAAAATACAATATTGCGCAGAACATCCAGACAGAAAATGGACGAATCAATTGGAGAATTTAGGCAGTTACACAATGCTGAATTGCATGAACTGTATCTGGTTAATATAATAGAGATGATTAAGTTGCAGCGAATAAAATGGGCATGTAAAATATCTGGTCTTAGTAACGAATAATTCCTAAAAAAGTTCATATGAGCTGTAACGACTGGCAAGCGTTTGAGGGGTAGACCAAAGCGAAGTTGGGAAGACTGCATTAAGCCTGATTTGGTGTGGTTGGGTTTAGACGGAGCATAGTGGACGGAAGAATGCGGAAATCGATTGGTTGAATCGGCATCGAACCTTCGAGTTCACTAAGCCATATTATTATTAATATAACTATTTAATTAGTATAATTATTGTGATTGTAAAGATATATGGCTCAGACTACACACAGAAAAATGCAAAGAAGTAAGAAATCGTTTTTGTGAAGGAAAGACGACTTCAATCTAAAAAGTCCCCTCCTTCCTATATTATCACATCTAGTACTTGAACACCTTCAGGGCTGGTAACATGTCCTGATGATGACTCACATGCTTGGGTTGAAACGTCGGCAACAATAAAAATCTTAACAGAGTGCATCCTGACTATTTATCACCTATAATGTAAATGCGTAATCTAGAATTTTTGTTTACATGTTAGACAATCATGTTTAAGAGGAATACCACCAACCCTAAGCAAGGATCTTAACAATTTCATTTCAATCTTTTGACCATTTTAATATTTTTCTTTCATCCCCATTTTATTAAAATCACTGGAGATACTTACAATTTTAAATGTATGCTAAACGAAACCACAGAATTGAATTCCCCTGGCATTCAGAGTAGTTGAATTAACACTCAACGCCTGTCACTTGAAACGATACTCCTGTACTACAAAATAAAATCTATTAAAACAACATAATTAAATTTAAAAACTATAATATCAATAACAAGATAAGAAAATGAAACGGTTTTATGACACAGGCTGTGTAACCTTCTCTGTAAGTAACTATATCAATGACACAAAATGGCTGCACTAGCAACGGCCATATTGGCGAATGAAGATTTGTATACTTATCGATATATTGTTGCAAGCAAAATATCGATATTCTGCAATACTACGAAGTTTTGGCATCTATGTAGAACTGGAATCGATACTGATAGAAGGTATCGGAAAATTACTTGTACTGAATGAATGATAAGTGATCAATACATATAGCCAAGTGATTGTGAACCACGCGTAATCCGTGCGTAACTCTTGTGAACTAGTACTATCAATTCTACTGTTATTGGAACAAAACTCGATAACTTATTCAATTACTCTAGATCAGAGGTTTTCAAATTTCGGGCCAAACGTACCTTCAATCCGTCCCGCAAGAGTTTCTTTGATAATAGTTAATTTGGTCGAACCATTCCGAGGGTTCGATGCCGACAACACCAATCGCTGTCAACACACCTTCCACTGATCGCCGTGGAAACCCACTCCGTTTAGATCAGCCTGAACGCAATCTTCCCATCTTTGCTTCGGTCTACACCTTGGAGGTTTTACAGTCGGTACAACAAATATTAACCTTTTAGGAATGTTTTCGTTACTAAGTCCAATAATTTTACGAGTCCATTTCATTCGCCGCGATGTAATCATCTCAATTATATTAGCCGGATACAATTCGCGCAATTCGGCGTTGTGTAACCGTCTGAACTCTCTTCTTCCCAATACTTTATTTTCAAAACCCTTAAGACGTTGCTCATCCCTTGATGTAAGCGGCCACGTTTCGCATCCATTAAGAACCGTAGATAGGGTAATGGTTTTATAGATTCTAATTTTTAGGTTCCATGATAGGAGGCGCAAGCTAAGTAATTTTGTCATAGAAAAATAACGAACATTTCCCTCCTTTAGCCTAACCTTAATCTCCTCTTCAATTTCGTTTTTTCTAGTTATCGTAGACACTATATACCTAAGCTTCTCTACATGTTTAAACATATTACCTTCCATATCGATATCACTAGAACTATCTCCATGTTTGTATCTAACCATATATTTTGTCTTATCGGTGTTTATTTGGAGCCCTAGTTTGTTTTATAGTTTCCGTGTCCTCGCTTAACGCAGGGATCTCCAAACTTCGGCCCTTCCAAGATCCCGCAAACCCTTCCAAGATGGGAAGAATAAATCAAAGAAGCCTTTGACAGGAGGGGAATGGACTGGAGGAGGAGAAGGAAGCTGGCTGAGGACACTAGCGGATCCAGGATTTAATTTTGGGGGGGGAGGCTTCAGCCCGAAAGCTTTTTTTTTCATAAAAATGACGATAATTACTTTGGAAAAAAAGAAAGTAACTATCTATTTGAAATGGTGTTTAAGTGATACCTTAAGTCCTTTTAAATGTAATTACACGAACAATAATACTTTAAGAGTTTTTTTTTTTTTTTTTTTTTTTTTTTGTCTTCCCTACCTCGCCTTTTAGGCTATACGGGATTTTCCCTGGCCGGGGGGTGAGGGCGGGGAAATTTAAAATCCCCTCCGCCACCGGGACGCGAACTCGTACTTTTTGTATCATCTCAAATCTCTGTTATCCGGTTGCCAGGCAACTAGCGGTGCTGTTACACACGCTTTAGCCTATTCGGCCACCCCGCCCCCTATACTTTAAGAGATAATTTTTTAATATATTTTTCTATTAAACGTGGTTATATTTTACCATTTTGGAGGAGGGGGTCTTCAGCCCGAAAGCCCCCCCCCCCCCCCCCGTAGATCCGCCCGTGGCTGAAGACATAGATTCTTGGATCAGGCTCTGTAAGAAGGAACCTCACCCTGCGCAGGTGTGAAAAGAGATGATACTTTACTTTCGACACCTTTGAGTTATCGAATAATTAAATGAATATCGGTATGGATACTCTATGGTTTTCGTAGCCTTAGATTGGCCACTCTGTCTATCAGGCATTGCTGCCAATCACTAGCGGATCCAGGATTTAATTTTGGGAGAGGCTTCAGCCCGAAAGATTTTTTTTTTCATATACATATAACGATAATTAATTTGAAAAAAAGAAATAAATTAACTACCTATATGAAATTGTGTTTAAGTGGTTCTTGAAGTACAATTAAATATAATTACACGAACAAGAATACTTTAAGAGATAGTATTTAATATTTTTTTCTGTAAAACATGGTTATAGTTTACCATTTTGGGGGAGGGGCTTCAGCCCGAAAGGCCCCCCTTCTTAGATTCGCCTGTGCTGTCAATAACTAACGATAATTGCCTTTAACTACAGACAGATCTACGGAAGGAGAGGGGAGGCTTTCTGACTGAAACCCTCCCAAAATGGTAAAATATAACCATGCTTATTAAAAAAAAATTATCTCTAAAAGTATTATTGTTCATCTTATTACATTTAATAGGATTTATAGAATCACTTAAACGCCATTTCATATAGGTACTTAGTTTCTTTATTTCTTCCGAAGTAATTATCGTAATATATATATATAAAAAAAAAAAATTCGGGATGAAGCCCACCAAAATTAAGTCCTGGATCTATTAGTGTAACGGACGATTGGTTGTTAGTTGGTCACTAATGATTAGGGGTGACCAGAAGGGGGTTTCATGGCGCAAGTTCACCATCAAAATTTTAGAGGGAGGCACATTTTGAGGAAGTTTTGAACTTTCGAAATGAAAAGTTTCAAATCAAAAGAGTGTAGGATGTGTAATTGTATATAATTTACGAATTTTTAAACTATACTTTTGTTTGCACTGTTTTTAAGAAAAGGATAGCAATACAATATGTTGTAAGTGGTGGGGGAACGGAACTTGGGGAGAGATGGACACCCATACTAATGATCACAGGCGAATCTATGGGGGAGGAGGTCTTTCCAGCTGAAGTCCCTCCCCCTCAAAATGGTAAAATATAACCATATTTTACAGAAAAAAATATTAAAAACTATCTCTTAAAGTATTCTTGTTCGTATA